TATACAATTACATAAATGTTGTTTTAGTCTACCATAAATTTAAATTTTACTTCCATTCTAAAACTCAGTAACATATTTAAAATATTAAATTATGATCAATTTAAAATGAAAATTGAATTATATTATTACCACTAATAAAAATTAAAGTATTGTTTTTCTTATTTTAACATTTCATTTTTTACATAATTTATTTTTATTTATATAAACTTTCTATTAATTAAATAAGTAACATAAATATGCACTCAATGAATGTTTTAAATTTATTTTAATGTTTAAACAAAAATGTGGCTTAGGTGGATGCTTAGGTGGCATCATGAGAAGAGAGAAAAAGCTAACTTTATATATAGATACCATGTTTTAAGGTTGAACCGTGAATTTCTAATGTACCAAAACATTTATTGTAAGTTTTAAAACAATATGTTTTGAAACATTTATTTTAGATTTCTTGTAAATGAATATTATATAGAAATTATTTTAAATGACGTAAAGGGAACTAATCTAAAATAAAATACCATATGAATCCTACTATATTAAAGGGAAATACCACTAAGAAAATATCCAAAAATAAATTCATATTTACATTAAATGCCATTAACATAGAGGGTGTATCCAAACAGATTTTACTTGGATATGCATAGTATTTTTTTGGGTCTTGAATAAGATATTCGGATTTAGTGTAATGACAGGAGGAGTTTTTTCATTTATTGGCATATTTTCCTGGATTTTTTTTGAAAAGAAACTAAGTAAAAAAAAAATAACTAACCAATAAATATGGATATCATTTAAATTTGTTACCATAAAAACCGGTGTATTAAATTCAAAAATATATATGTAAACACATTGTAAATTATATTTAATTCTAAAAAAGTCTATTATAATTATTTGATTCTAATAAAATTTAAACAACATATGAATTTTAAAATACTGTAAAATATTTAAACTCTATTAAAAATTTTAAAGGGTTAAGGATTATTAAATTATGTATTTAATTTTTAAAAAATATTTTGATGATATCTTATTTTCAAAGATTTTTAAAACTAAATCCAACAATCATTCCAAAACTAAAAGGGAACTAAACTAAAAAATCTTATTTTCAAATATTTACAATATCTACAATGGTTTCAAAAACTCTTTCTTAACATCAATTTTTTCAAACAAATAAAATCTAAAAATCCCATATTATATACATATATATATATATATATATGTATATGTGTGTGTGTGTGTGTGATTTAGAATATAAATATAAATATTTTTTTTTGTCGCCATAAAAATATAATTATATATTAAACTTTCATGATATTTTAATAATACAAGGGTTGGTTTGTGAAACTCACAATGATATGGTAGAACGAGTTATGATTGATATTTTTAACACGAAAGCAATCTTTTACGGGTTGTTCCGTCAAAATATACAATGTGGGTTTGTATTTTTTTTTATCAATGCAATCTTTTACGAGTTTGTCTATCAATATATTCACTGTGAGTGTGTATTTATTTACAAATGCATATTTTACTAACGCAATCTTTTACGGGTTGGTCCGTCAAAACATACATACACTATAGTGTGTTATAGTGTGCAATATGATAAATAATTAAATATGAGGGGACATGTATTATTGGGAGACCCAATATTAACAGAAAAATGCATGTGGTTAATACTCGTGAGTTAGTATTTTGATACATATCTCTAATAACATTTGTGGACATAATTCTATAGTAATTAAAACTTTTAAAAAAATTATGAGTTTTCCCTAAAATAGAGAAAATTATACTCTATGCCATGTACAGTGCCATAGAGACTGATTAAAAAGATTTTTTTGTCCTTATGCAATTGAAGCCTAGTTTGCACTGTTGGTGATTGTTGATGAAACGTAATATTTTTCTTCTGGTGGATGTTGACTGTTGCCGCTTCTCTCTCTCTCTCCTCTGTCTTTCTTCTTCTTCTTTTTTTCTCCATTAACAAATCTAGGGATTTCAGATTTTACGTGGGTTTGCTTTATCAGAAGGATATCAATCAGCTCTGCAAATGATTCCTAGAGGTTGTGTGCTGCATCTCTAATGGAGCAATTCAATGGACCAGATCCGGTAAACCATATTCTGGTGGACCATTTCCACTGAACTAGTTCATGAAATATTTATCACCAGTGTTTTCTCCTACAAAGGGGTATCAATCAGCTTTGCAAATGTTCCCTAGAAATTGTGTGTTGTATCTCCAACGGACCAATTCCGGTAGACCAGATTCGGTGGACCATATCCAGTGAATCAGTACCGGTGGACCAAACTTGTATTTTTACTAAGTAATCGTGTCCATCACGCGTATCTTCTGAAGTCATAAGCGATCGACCATATAATGAAACAAGTGATGAGTCTATTGAAGATATCATCTGCAATCCATCTAGGTTTACATTCTGGATCACACAATTGTCGGTAGATTGACCAGATTTTCGTGGACTAGATCTGGTGTATAAGATTCTATGGACTAGATCTGGTGGACCAGATCCGATGTCTCCACCTACAAGGATAAGTTATTCTTGATATGAGTTTTGCTTCTGCAAATTATAATGGACCATACATGTCTCTATCTTGTCCACCGTAATTAAGCTAAAAACTCGAAAATCTCTGCTCCTTCACCACCCACAACTTCCACAAAATCTCTCTACTTGTCCTCCATTAGCACCCACCAATTTGCATTGTGTCCCTGAATAAATCAAAACTTTATTTGTGTCCTTCATAGAACGTCCGTGGTGGAGGACCAAACTCCTGATCTCGGTACCCAAACAAGAGTTGTCTCTCAAAACTTCTCAATGTAAGTTTTGATAGACCAGATCTACTGCACCCAATATGACCATCAACACAGTTATCCATATTTTCTTCTAACTCATCTTTTTGAGTTTGTCCTTCACCGATTTAATAAAGCATAGACAAACCTTGTTGGACTACAAATCTTACTAACGACATGTCAGAGGACACACATAGGAGTTGTCTCTTGGAATCTGTCAAAGTGAGTTTCGATGGACCAGATCTACTTTATATATTTTGTCCATCATATATTACTTACTCGTTCGCTATTTCTGACATGTATGATCCATTACCCACATGATATTAGGCAACATCCCAATAATTAATGGCTACTGCTGCCAATAGAAAGAGCAAAGTTTCATTCTCCAATGCACATGGCAAAATCGTCTAAGGTTCATCTTTTTGGCACGTTTTGAAAGAGGTTTTTGTTAATGGCAGTTTTACAAATTTGAATTTAAGAAATTGCAGACTTAACAAAATTCCCTTTAAAATACTAATCATTTAGCAAAAAAAAATATGAGTCTATGCTGTAGCATATTAGAATAAGAATATTTTTTTTTTGTTTTTTGAAACCAGAATAAGAATATTTAACATCACCTTTCTATCCTTTAAATTTACGGAAGAAGGATTATAAAACTTATAATAGGAAGTACACTTATGAAGTATCAATGTAGTAAACGAGAATATCATATATCTTTCAAACGTCATTGTTTTGCTTTGCCCTTGATTCCTTGTAAATTAGAGAATCTGAATAAGCAATATTCACACGTCTTTGGCCTCTACGGTGATGATGTCTACACTTCTTTATATCAACAAACTTCTTTGCTTCTTTGTTGTTAACACCACACTCCTTAATCTCAACTTCTTGGATAGACTCTAAGACCTTAACCACCTCACACATTGTAGGTCTATACTTAGGATGTTGGCTTAAACACTTGTATGCTAGGCCAGCAGTTACCTGTGCGGCTTCTTTTTTGTACTGGCTCTCGAGCCTCGGGTCGATTATCCGCTCTAGCTTTCTTTGGTCTCTTAATATAGGCCGCGCCCATTCCACAAGGCTTTGTTCCCTCCGTGCGCGAGTATTGTCCATTGACCTTCTCCCGGTTATTAGTTCTAACAAAACTACTCCAAAACTGTATACATCATTCATCGTCGTCAAATGACCTACCACACACCAAAAACAAAATCGATTAAAAACATATTTCCAAACATTTCGGTTATACGGTAAAAGAAATGATCAATTCCATATGAAAATCTTACCAGTCATGATATATTCGGGCGCGGCGTAACCTTGTGTTCCCATCACTCGAGTTGTTACATGCGTATGTTCGCCTTCAGGTCCATCTTTGGCTAGACCAAAGTCTGATAATTTGGCGTTATAGTTCTGTAAAATCATAAAATTAGCAAATTCATTAGCAATTTGATTATTAGTGGCCTGATACAATGTTTAAAGATGAAAAGAAGAAACTTACTGAGTCTAACAATATGTTAGAAGTTTTGAAATCTCTATAGATGACAGGTTTCTCTGCTTCATGGAGAAAAGCTAAGCCTTTGGCTGCTCCAAGGGCTATCTTCATCCTTATTCCCCATGCCATTGCTACACTATTTCCTGTCCAAATTTAAACATTAATTTCCAAGTTAATTAATACTTCAACGTGAAATCTTGATGGTGTTTTTTTGTTTTCTTGATAAAATCTTGATAGAGTTGTTCTATTAGATTTCAAGATGCTATAACAACAAAATATTTAAACAATTTAAGTTATAAAAGTTAAGTAGATGACGTACTTCTAAAGAGCTGATTCTCCAAGCTACCACGAGGCATGTACTCATAAACAAGAACTCTTTGCTCTTCTTCACAACAAAATCCAATCAACTTCACAAGATGTTTATTACTTAGTTGTCCCAAAAATATTATCTCCGCCTATAAAATAAATAAAAAATGAACATTTAACATTTATTATTACAATTTTTTATGAAAGAAATTTCACAAAATAAATCAATTTGAAATATTGTAATGCGTTATTATTATTTTTTTTTGTCAACATGTTATGCATTAGTTAGACAACAAAACTAATTAAAGACACATATTAAAAGAGAAAGAAACGTTACCAGCCATTCTCTATGGCCTTGATGGCCATGAAGATCAAGAGCCTTAACAGCAACCGGTTGAGGTTCTAAACCCGGTTTAATCTTATCATCAATAAACCCTTTGTAAACCGGTCCAAACCCTCCTTCACCTAACATGTTACTTCTAGAGAAATGATGCGTAATGGTTCTCAGCTCAGCCAACGTGAACAAACGAAGCTTCTGCGATGTGAAAGAATGAGAGAGATCATCCATGACCGACATGGGCGAGCTTGGATCGCTTATATCCGATAAAGAAAGCCTCTTGAAGGCAGGACAAGTTCTTATTTTCATTACAGGCTTCTCTTCTCCTTCGTATTTGCTTGTGTTCTTTGCTTTGTAACACCCTAAGAACATAGATGTTAATGATGTCTTCTTCTTCTTGACCACTGCCATTTTCTTGTTCTTTGGGTGAAAGATGGAGAGAGATGGTCTTTTACTCTTTTTGATGTTAGCTTTTGTAAAGTGCGTAGGTTTAGAAATTAAGGATGTTTTAGTTAACCTACTTGTCTTCAAAGTCTTGGTATTTATAGTAGTTGTTGTGTCTTATTCATACTAACCGGCCTTTGAATTTTCGTATTTATTTATGTATGTTAAGTAATTGCTTTTTTATATTAGTTGTAATATAAAAATATGTTGTACTATATAAGCTCTCTAGAAATATATTTTCGGGGATTTGTTTTAAATACATAATTAATAGATATTTTCCCAAAATACCATTATAAGTTTTATTTTCCAAAAATACCACCAAAATACATTATTTTTCAAAAATATCACAAAACTAAAACTAGTTTTTTAAATATTCAAAATTAATTTCTAAATCCTAAATACTAAACCCTACTCGTAAAAACTATACCATAAATATAAATAGTTAACCCAAACATAAAAAGTAACAATTTTAGACCTTCAAAAATCAACTTTGTATGTTTATGATATTTTTGGAAAAATAATTTTTTTGTGGTATTTTCAGAAAAACAAATTAGGTTATTTTTGGAAAAAAAAACTAAAATGATGACATCCAAAAAAAAATTCTATATTTTGAGGAGAAACATAATTCATTGTTCTCAATGCTTCCCATAATGATATTGATATATAATGCAAATTGTATATTTTTATCATAATATGTTTTAAAAAAAAATATTATTATCTTCAAGTGAGTGAACGTGTTTTCACAATAAATTTGGTTTAAAAATTCAATAAGTTGTACGTTAAACTCCATCTTACAAAAGTCTACGGACTAAATAATTTTATTTTTTAAATTCTACATTCCACTAATTAATACGATCTCTCGTTTCATAAGACTTAGTTTTGTTGTCTAATACAAAAATGGTTTGGTGAATTAAAAAGGTGTCTCTCTACATCTCATAGGCTTAAGTTCTCTCTAATATAGGTTTTGCGTTCTGATAATTTAAGCAATTTAAAAAATATTTTGGTATATATATTTTCGGCTGGCAAATATAAATTATACACAAAGAAGATATGATTCGCCTTGTTGAAAGGAGAATGATGAGATGATTAGGACATATATAATTGGATGTTCGTTGACTTTATTTGTTCTATGATTAAAAAGAATTTAAAGAAGTAATTAAAGAAGTGAACAAAACAAACTTGTACCATTTGATTTTATTACTCTTAACTAATCTTTTTTTTGCTTACTAGTCTTAACTAATCATTTTATGCAATAACTTAAGGTCGGTTGGTCTTCAGGTACGTAACATAATAGTTCCTGTCGTTAGGATTTAGTATGAGACTATATCAGTTTTAAGTGCATGCATGTTGTGTAAGTGCATGTATGTTATATACAAAACAAATCGTAGTACCAACAACAACGATGAGAACGCGCAGAATTGCTAACTTTATCCCTTTGGCCACAATGGGTTTCTTGCTTAAGTACCATTTGAAAAATTGGAGGGGGGTCTTATTCGTGGGATACCCTCTTCATAGGGATTAGTCTCGAATCCTTTCATAACTCCAGGGATTTACCCTGAGTAATCAAAAAAAAAAAAAAAAAACAACGAGAACTCAAGCTCTTTTGAGCTGAGGCAATATTGTACATGTTTGAGTTATGTGGTTTGGAATAAGTGTTTCTTCTTCCGGTTTCTACTGGTTGTTTCGCGATTTTTCTTTATCATGTTTCTCTTGTATACATAGGTCATTAGTCGTAGTTTTTGGTACTTTATGTATTATTCGTTTCCCTTGTATTTGTTGTCGAAAACTCGAAAATTGTATAACTATTTCAGTTAAACTGAAACGGAAGGAGTATTTTGCAGCTTTTGACAAGTTAAAGTTATTTTTTTCCTCGTAAAAAGAGTGATCAATACTGTGGGAACTGAGACAATTTAGTGGTAAAACAGATTAATAACGAATCCTAACGTGATCTGATTCTGGTTATCTCGGTCTAATCTATCGATTTACTTACATGGTAGCTTAACCACTGCGTTTCAAGTATATGGGCTGGGCTGAGTTCGGGTTTGGCCCAACTCTTGATGTCATGCTCTCTAAGTTGTCCTCAAATCTGTTATTTCGTTGCTTTGGCTATCATCATGTGACTCAGCTGACTAGCAACATATGTATTATCAAAATGCTGAAAGATTAACCATGAAACTAGTTAAAATGTTTCCAAAAATGAAATTATAAAACCATAATTGTTAAATTATTTGATTATCGTCAAAGAAGCAAAAATAACGATGTCCGCCTTCAAAAACTTATAGACAAAAATATTTGAAACCGCTTCAGTTTTTTTTTTCTCAACCACACATTAATTAAAATAAAAATCCATGATTAGTAACTCAAGCAAGAGGAGAAGAGTTTACAACACTGCTTCAGTTTCATTCACAACCAAAAAGACTATACTTATTATGACTAGGGGCACACCTTATGGTTTGCAACTTGTCCACCTTAGGATCTCTCAGTGACGAATTAATCTGTATTTAACTATGTCTTTCATTTGTCAATACTTTCGGTTTAAAGTTTATATCCATTTTAAAACAGATTTTTAGGTTTAAATAAATTTTACATTTATTTTGTGAAAAAAAAAATACTTTCACCATCTTTTTTTGTCATTCCATTTTTCAGTTACCTGTTCTTGATTTTTCTTTAAGAACTTTTGCTACCTATGGCATGATCAAGCTACCTATAACTATAAAGCATAAAAAAAGAAAAAACTGAATGCAATTATTATATAATAATTAACTAGAGGATGGCCCGTGCTTTCGCACGGATGATGTTTTTTAAACTAAAGATATAATTGGATTTGTATTAATATTTGATATTCAATAGTATAGGATAAACATAATAGTCCTGTATATTTTAATTTTAATTCTATAGAGTTAAATCGCGTATTGATTTGTATATTTTAACTGTATAGAAAGTAAATAATATATACAATAGTAATTAGGTCTGGTTTTAATATAAGTACGTATATATTATATTTTCCCTAAAACCGTTAAATTTATCAATCACGGACATTACCTCAACGGTGTATAAGAAAATGCAATCATTTAATATAATTTACAAAAATTGTATATCGGTTGAAAGATAACATAAGTGATATATAACAATTTCATAAATTTGGATAATCTATTTATGAATACCTTATGAATAAAATTTAACTATTGGCAAAAGTATATGATAAACTAATCTGCTAAAATGTTAACAAAAAAGGAAAATATGATAAATATTGTAATTGTAAACAATTTTAATATAAAATTTAATCTTTAATCTACTTGAAATAAGGTAAATT